CCCTGGGGAGAACAGTTACCGTCATTTATGAAAACTGTCAAGACAGTAATTTTTCTCTGGAATCAAGGAACTTGGTAAGAAAGTCCTATAAATTTTCAATGCTTTACTTGTTTGTCATTTTATTTTCCATGTGATGAGAGAGTACTAAAATTTGGCTGGTGGCTATTTCTGAAGGGAATCACTAAAAAGACTCATTGGAAAACCTGCAGAGACTACACAAGCATTTGATGCTGTTAACAGCAACCTCTTATCTAAGAGCTTCTTTATCCCCTGTCAGCCTAAACACATGGTGTTTGCTCCACAGGCTCTGTTCTTTCTTCCCTAGCCCTAGCTCACCGCTCGACTTTGCCCTGCCACAGCATCAGACTCCAGAAGGGTGCCAGAATATCCTTTGTTATTGCATGAGATTAGGCTCAGGTCCAGGGTCCCCATTCCCCAGTCGCCCAGCAGGAACACACAGCCTTCCGGGTGAAATCCTTTGTGCCGGCACAGCGCTCGCAGCTTGCTCCCAGCAGATTCTACCTCTGCTTGCCACCAGCACCCAGAGTTTTTTCCACCCTGCAGTGTCAGGAAGGTCAGCAGGTGGAAAGGGGGATAAGACAGAAGCAGAGCGAGGTCTGCTTGGTTTGAAAGGCTTCCTCCCGGACACAACACTGTCATTTCAAACCCTTGTGGATGCATTTGACAGAGAAAGTGCTGTGAGCTCCAAGCATGCAGGATGCAGAGACGCCAGAGCTCATGGAGTCGAGGCATGCACTGAGGACAGGCAGAACAGACACCTAGCTGTTACAGGCACAGTTCCTCACTCCTCTAAACAGGCTGAGGCAGAGTTTCTGTGTTTAATGGCCAGCATTTCATATGAGGTCAGGCTAGAGAGGAACAGGCCTCCTGAGGCTTGCTAGTAGATACAAACACATGTGCTCCAGGGTTCTCAGAACCACACAAGTGCAGCCCGGCACTCCCTCTACCAGACACTCATTTTGCTGAGAAATGCTCTTCTCTGTGCCACCTCACCTGGATCTGGGCACTTCCAGTGGGCTGCTTCCAATCCTCAGGAAGTTATCAGAATGGGTGGATGAGGAGGAGCTGGAGGACTTGACTTCGACCACCCCTGCGGAAGGCAGCCTGTCTTCAGACTGCTGTGCCCTGCTCCAGAGCACGGCTTGGGGTGACGATGCGCAGCTCTTCCTCCTGTGGGATGGAAGACTTGGGTGAGAAAGCTGGCTTTCCCACTTACTCCAACCAGGAAGCCCTTCCACAACAGGCTGGATTTTACCGCAGCAGCTACAAGCTATTGTTCCCACTGAACCTGCCCTCCTCCCTCCCAGGGAACCATGAGTCACGGGTAACTGCTCAGTGACAAGGGTACACTGAGCTCAACCCATCTTAGCCCATTCTTTTATAAATCACCATCCACGTGACCTGGAAATCAGAGACAGGAGAATGCATCAGCCCACACACATACAGCGATTGCTTTGTTTAGTCTAGCTGTAAAAAATGCCTCGAGCAAGGGGCCTCCCAGCAGGGAAAGACCATTTCAATCTGCTCCAACTCTACAGAGTGTTTCAGCGGAGGAGCTCAGCCCAGGTGGGCACTGCTGTGCACTCATGAGGGTGACAGGGACACACCAGCAGTGTTATTTTCCCTTTTAGTGATTCCCTTCAGGCACCACTGACCACACTTCTGACCATGTGCTCGGAGCTGACAGTCACTCCAGATGTAGGTGCATTTCAGTCCTCTCCCTGTCTGTGCTGACAGCCCAGAACTGCTCTGGCTTCTTTTCTGGCAAGCACATTCAGGCTCAGGCACGACTCACTGTCCATTGCTGCATCACGCTTTACCTCACAGTACCATGCAGCTACATGCCAAACAGGCATGCATATTTGGGACTAATTCATGTCACTGCTGCTTCACGTTCAGAAGATTTTCTTTCTTACGTTAGTTTTTTTTTTTTTTTCCCTGGAAGTCCCAAGAATTTTTCCCCTTCCAAAACCAGTGGATTGGACCAATACCTCCCTATGTACACAAGTAAACAGGAAAAGGCTAAAGCAAACAGACTCAAGGAGAAAAGATGCTGTTCTTCCTGGCATCTGGAAGGGCATCTCAGCTTTGACCGAGATCTCAAGCACTGTCAGCAAGTGCAGCTAAAGACGGGCTCATTGTGCAGTGGAAAGCATGATATCCTCTCTTCGTTTCTTGAAGTGTGTCCACCCTCAAACATCACACCACAGCCTCTCTCAAGCATTATTCATCTCATGTTATCATAGCTGCCAACATCTCCAAGCACAGCCTGCAGAAACAGGCTTGTACAGCTGAAAACCAAATGCCTCTCCCTGCAAGGAGACCTCGAGGCCACCTGTTTTCAGGACAATGCAATGAAGCACATCCCCTCCTCTCCCCGCTCATGCTACGCGCAGCCCAGCTCACCCGGCTTGTAGCAAGCCCTACCTGTTCTCCAGATTACACAGCCACAACAGCCTGCAGCAAGACATCTGTGACCAGTCCCCTCGCTAAGCACTCGTGGCAAGGCTCACAGCCTTCCCTTCCCCAAGCTCATGCCCACAGCATGGGCCTAAGCCACCCCCGTGGTAGCAGCAGCTAGCCTCAACACCGCCTGGGGTCTCCAACAGGAATGAAAGCAAACCAGAGTCAGAAGACACGTCACACAAGTGCAGCAGATCTCTTCCAGCATGCTCTGGCCACTTCACGTCTTGTGAAAATCACGTGCAGGTTTTGTGCTGCAGGATCTAGTCCATATGTCCAGAGCACTCAGAGCAATGTAAATGCTTCCATTTACTACCCAGCAGCCAGGCAAGTGGAAAGTTGTTCTCTACTTCCTGCAGTCACTTTGCTGTGGATAGGCAGGCTCTGCGTGTTAAAAAGGACTCTGCGCTGCTCACTTGGCAAATGCAGTTTGGGACTCTCCATTTTGTGATTCTGCAGGAAGATTCTCTCTTCCCCTCTTCAGCATTTTATAAATTGAATCACCATGTGCTTTAGAAGGCCCCCTGCCACTAGCATGGCTGCAGGCTAAGTCCCAGAGGACTTCCAACTGCCTCCAGCACAACCCAGATTTAATTTAAAATAATTGCAATATAAAATAGCTTCTTCACATGTGCTGAGGGAGAGGAGAGAAAAATTAAACTGAGAGGGGCAACCCTACAGCAAGGTTCTGAATCCCCAAACAGCACCAGAGCAAGCACAACACCTGTCCCAGTGCAGCAGAGTCACCAGACACCTTCCCTAGTCCCTGCTTTCTGACAGCCACCCGCATCCCCAGGCAAGTCCTATGGGACCCTCTATCAACAGGGAACACTGAGAATTTAGTATTCTCCCCCAGAAGTATCTCTAAGCAGCGCTGCAGGCAGCAACTTGCTTTCAGATCACACACCTCGTGCTCTTATGGGGATTCTTGGCCAGCAAGCCCACCTACCACTAACTGCAGACGCTCCTCTGTATAATCTCTTCCATAAACTGATTAAGCTTCATTTTAGGGCAGCTAAACAGTCTCTACTTTTCCCTGGGGAGACTGCTGCCAAATGCCATTTTTCTGGTAGTTTGGAACAATCTTTTAGAAGTAACTAAATCCTTTCTGGATGAAGTTTAGCAATGAAACTAGTGAAAATGAAACAAAGCTGATTTATGCTCATCAGGGGACAAACTTCAAGAGCATCTCCACAGAAGCCTGACAGTCTTTAACATGGGGTGGTCTCCAATTTTTGGTGCAGAAGTTCTGTAGCACAAGTTGCAGCAAATCCTCTGACAGTCAAATTCCTCCCTCCACTGTAAGGAACCCATGCCACAGACCTGGAGGGTGAGGGACTTCAGAAACACCTTTTCTACTGTGCTCAGAGCCTGCCCTTTTTGTTCTGCAGCCCACTGAGTGGTTATCTCCTCACCATGCTGCTTGAGCCTGTGCTCCTGCTGGCATCAGCTCCACTGCTTCATAAGTGAAGCTCCCAGCTGCTCCAGGGGAGCTTTCCATCCCCAGGGAGAAGTCGCTGCTCAGACTTGTGGTGCTGCCTCGGTCTCTCTGCTCTAGAGAAAAGAAAACAGAGCTAACTGAAGACCAGCTTGGTCTCACTCACTTTCTCTCCCTTTAAGCAACACACTTCCCACGTGCCCTGGGGCTGTGTTCTTGCAAGGCCCCAAGGGAAGCATACCCATTTGTAGTCACCTTGACGCTGGGAACCCAAGCCCCCAAACGATCAACCATTACCAGCACCCAGGGGCGCTGATGCTCGGCAGCAGCACTCACTGAGCATGCAGATCTCTTCCAGGGTGAAGCCAGGTGGCAAACTCTTCCTTCTGGGGAAGGAAAGGCAAAGTTACCTCAGCCACGCTTCAGGGCTGCGTGGAGGCTGGCCATAGCCAGATCTCTGCAGCACACAGTGGATCAGAGCAGTGGGGAGTTAGCTGTGCGGGGGCAGAGGGGAGGGGATGGGGCTGGTGTGCGGTATCCGACTCTCCTAACAGTCCCAGCCCACACACCCTGTGCTTTGAGAGGGTGGGAACAGATTGCAGGCAGACACGTGCTTAGAGCCTCCAGGGTGGGCTTTGTTTCTTTCTGCCCCTCTTGAAACAGGAAGGGGTTAATGTTTAGCGGTCTGTAAAAAACCAGTCCCCGGGGCTCCCCCTCAGCAGTGCCTGATGGAGCGTGCTGCGCAGCCTGCTTGAGCCAGAGCACACATCTCTGGGTTCATCCGTGCCACAGCAGCCACGGACACTCATTAAGCAGAGAGCACATTTCAGCATGGACAGTTTTTCAGAGCACAACGTGGCACCTCACAAGCCTCGGCCCCATTTTGCAGCCTTCAGAGTGCAGAATAAATTAAAGAAAACTGGGCCAGGACACCAGGGCTTCCATCTCCCCAAAGAAACAGCACTAACAAGCTCCCTGGCTCTGCAGCCCATGCAGCAGCAGGCACAGGCTCCTTACCTCTGCGACTTCACAGCAGAGAACTCCTCAGAGGTGATGTGCTTCAGAAAATTGAAGCAGAAAAAGAAAATCTGAGCAAAGGGAGAGAGAAGAGTTATGAACCTGAGGCTCCATGCAGCCTCTTATCTTGCTGGGGAGGTGCTGGTAGGAAGGAGATAGCAAGAAATCTGGAGCTACCAGCCTCTAATGCGCCATGGGCTGCTACCATCCCATCCTGGGCCTTCTCTTGCACATTAAACTGACCCTCTGTTCCCTGCCACCGGGAGGCCCAGAAAGGAAGGTGTACAACAAATCTCCTTATCAATGCCTTGCACACATGCTGCAAGCACATGGCAGGTACTTATGCCATCAGTGCAGAAAGGAAAAGAGATGGGCCCCAGCAGCTGCTTATACACCCAGGTAAGCAGCAAAGCCAGCAGGACCAGCAGGGTTCGAGCCCCATGCTCCACCTCGGCACCACAGCTGTACCACACCTGGAAGCATGCGGTACCTGCGGCCTCTGTGGTCCCAAGCTCGTGCCCCGCCACGCACCAGCCTGCTCTGCAGCATTCACCCCGTTGTGCCTCCCTGCCACCCGGCCTCCTGCACAGAGCTGAGCCCTTCTCCTCCTGCGGTGGGGAGCAGGGAGTGCCACAGGCAGCCATGCACCCCCTCTCCTGTTGCAGCCAAGCAGGCACCAGAGCAGAGCAGAGCTGCCAGGCTCGAGCCAGCAGGGCTCTGGGAAAGGAATGAATGGGAGGAATGATACTAATACAGGGGTCCTGGACCCCCGAAAGATGGAAAATAGGCCAGGGTTCCAGCTGTTGTTCAGAGGCAGAGGATTCCCTTGTGAGTTAAGATTCTGGAGAGCAGCAACAGGGTTAGACATACTCCCCGCCTCTTGATTTCGATCAAAAACGGTATCGCAGTGTACTGCAACTACAGCCAGAGCAATCATTTTTTGCTGTTAAACAAGTTTTTTTTGCTGTTCCACTAATCTTGACTGCCTCCCAGACCCATGTGTACACCCACAGATATACCTTGCCAAATACACACACTGGAACCAGCACAAGCTGCAGCACCCAGGCAGGAGGGCTGGCACTCAGGACAGCCACACAAGACTATACAGCTTTATATTCAAGCTCCCAGGAGTCACACGCTTTAAGCATCCCTTCTCATTGCTGAGCTGAATAGCAAGTCCTAGTACCCTTTCTCCAGGGGCCTGAACATCAATGGCACAGAGGGCAACTGGCAGGACTGACACCCACAAACCAAACTGTAGCCTGAGAGAAAAAACACTGCCATGCTGTATTCATCAGAAAGTGACAGGGCAAGGCTGCTACCTCATATTTCCAGCACCTGAACAATCTTTTTAGAGCCCAGCCAGACCACTGGTATTACCAGAAGCAGGCAGTGAATGCTGCTACCATAAACAAGTACCCTGAGAACAAAAAGCAGAGCTCAGCCACGGCCCCAGGCCAGACACTCACCTCTTCTCCTTTACTGAGTCGATCGACTAACATGTGCCTGGAAAGAGAGCAAGGGAAGCTCAGTCACACACTGGAAGACAGAATCAGCAGAACAGCACAAGCTGTCAAGGATGGCCCGGTGCCTGAGCCTCCAGGTAAAAAAAAAAAAAAAAGGCATCAGCCCCTCTTGTTGCAGCTCACTGGGAGCTGCCCCAACATCCACCTTTGGTTATGAGCAAACACCAAAGATGATCCCCCTGAAGGCGTCTCCCCTGCTGCGCAGGGATGTACATGCAAGTAAAACTCAGTGTGCCTACCCAAAGAGAAACCAGTCATAGGCCACTGTCAGGTAGAGAATCTCAGACGGCTCCAGGGACGCATGGATCAGCCCATCCTGCAAAGCAAAAGAGAACAGCCTTCAGGCAGCAGCCCTGGGGATCAGGACTTGAGAATTCATGATCTACTGAAAACTGTCATGATCCAAGACGCCAAGCTTGCTCTACCTGCCTGCGATACCGCGTCTGATGGCAGGACAGCAAGTTGGGCTCCACATCAAAGCCAATCCACACCCTCTCTGAAGCCAAGATAGTCAAAAGGAACACTAACTGCTCTACCACCAATTCCTGGTGACATAGTCACTCACCATCCCAGCAATCACCCCCAGAAGCAGAGCAGGTCAGCCAGGTACTCACAGCCCATAAGGAGAGGCGCAATAAGGAGATGAAGAGAGGGGTTCGATCCCAGCCGGATATACAGTGCACCAGGAGCCCGCTGTCATCTGTTCCAGGCAGGGGCAGGAAGGAGAAGGAAAAAAAAAAAAGGATGTTGCAACAAGAGCAATGACTTTTCCTTATGGCAAATCTGTAGAGACAAGCTACCCTCCATCCCCACAGTCCAGGCTCAAGAGCAGAGCTCAGCCACCAAGCCAGAACATTTTGTCTTGAATACGGCAGCCAACAAATTGCTCAGAGTGTCCTGGGTCATCAGCAGCCCCAGCTGATGTGCTGTCCTGGTCTTGACAGCTGCTCAGGACATGAAGTCACCAGGCATGAACATCATTTTGCTACCCAGAACATACACCTACCCATTTGCAACCCACTATCACAATCTATCCCCACATCAGAGAGAAACCTGCTGCAACTGAACACTTTTTCAGTCTCACCAGTGATACACACTGAGCAGAGGCACACACAGGGCACAGCTCAGATGCTCTCCAGAAAATTCAGTGTGTCCCAACACAATGACTGCAGGAGAGTCTGCAACTGGCCATGCTGGCTGGGCTCCATCTATCCAACAGTGCTAGGTACGAAGTCACAGTACCCAGAGGGAATGGGATGCCAACATAGGGCAATATACACCCTTCAAAGAGTTGGGGTGACTGCGATGACAGAGGGTGGAAGGGGCTCTTAAATAGGCACCTAATGGGACCCTGAGTTGGGGTGACAAAACACAGGTGTCCAGCAAAATAAGAGCAAGAGTCAACAAGCAGAGGAACAAATGTTTCTTCTCTTCAGCTTTAAAGGGGTAAAACATTAGGTAAAGTTTTCAGAGATCCCTCCATCCCTGGGATTAGAAGGTTTTCAAGGAATCAGCAAGTCCCTCTTTAAGAGGGGAGCTGGAGCCCTGAGATGCTAAGACCATCACGCTGTTTTGAAGGGAGAGAAGTGAAGCTCTCTATAAAGTGACTCTTCTATATTGGGAATTGATCCACAGTGGTACCAATACCATCAGCTTTTCTTCCAGAGACAGTGACTGCTCCAGTTAGACCACTGGGAGCAAGGAGTTTGCCTTACCATCACTATTGATGATGGAGATCAGCAGCTTCAGGTAGTTCTGTGTCTGTTGTACAAGGTCCCAGCTCTGCAGAAAGAGAAATGTTGATGGTAAGGGTCTGCCCACAGCAAATGGCTGCTCTGCAGTTCAAAGCCTGCTGTGCTCTTGGCTTCTCTATTCAGAACAGCAGCGAAGCAGAAATAACCTCGTGGCCATTCCTCAGAGCAACAGACCTTCCCCTTGGTGCTCTAATCAACCCCCCCATCCTCTGCAAAAGGCACTCTGGGACAAGAGACCAGGAAAGAAAACAACCATAATAAAAGGCCACCTCTACTGTCTGCCTGGCTGGCACAGCACCTGTTTGCCTGCAGCCCCAAAGCTCCAAGCAGACCACAGACAGACTAACATGAGCCAGCAAACACCCCGGAGCGCTGACCCAGTTCCGCAGCCCACCGCACGCGGGCACTTCACCAAATGGCTCAGCAGCCACGCTACAGCTGCGTACGTGATGCAAACAGCATGACGGGGGGAGCAGGCCAGGGTCAGCAGCCTGTTCCCACAACCCGAGCACTTGTCTCAAAATTCTCTGGCCCTTGTAAATGGCCCCAGCAGGCTGCCTGCGAGGACTGACCCGATCCTAGCTGCTGCAGACAGGTGCTGGACTTGTGCAGTAACACCCAAGTAGCAGCAACACCACAGAAGGGCTCTGAACTCAGAGACCTCCAGCACATCTCTACAAGAGATGCAGGTGAAAAACATCAGAACAAGCTCAAGTGTGCCACTCCTGGCCACTGTGCCGTGAGAAGATGCAGGGAATTTCAGCGGTCTGATCGGAGCCAGAACTAGCTCAAGGAAAGTAGGATAGCACTGGCAAGGAAAAGGCAAGGAGAGGGACGCATGTTTCATTGTGACAGTGTCAGCGGTATAAGTGACATCTAACTACCAGCAGTAGAACACTTGCTGTGTGCTTGCATGCGTGCACGTGTGCGTGTAACCACGCTTAAGACTACTGTCAGACAAAGAACATATCGTTCTGCCATGAAGCCTGCACAGCAACAAAAGAGTAGGGAAATGGGGAACACACTCAGCCTGGGGCAGACAAACACATACTTCCAAAGTCTTTTATCTGCCCAATTCAACCCCATCTTGTGCTTATGCCAGAAGGAATCATCTAATCATCCAGTCTGATCTCTCTATACTATACACCAGGAAGTTTTGCTCAGTTGCCCCAAATACAGCCTGAAGCTGGCACTTGGCTCATCTCTGCCCAGAGAAGCAAACTCAACTAGGGGTGACAGCTCATTGCTCCTTTGGCAGCATGTTCCCACAGATCATCCTCAAAAATAACATGCAAGACTGCTTTCCTTCTTGTCTGACTTCAGACAGCAGATACTGCTTCCTGTGCAGCTTTTCTTCCCCAGATTGAATTAGTATTTTCTCCCTCCAAAAGTACTTACACATTAATCAAGTCAACCTTTCATCACCTTTGTGATTAGCTAAACAGACTGAGAACTTCAGCTTTAAGTAAAGCACCTTCTCCAGTCCTCAGATAATTTCTGCACCTATTTATTAACCCCTCTTCAATCTTTAATATCCTTTTTAAAATACTGGCTGCTCAGTATTCTAGTGAACAAGCCATAAGTGAGCTGTGGTCCCATTAGTTCTGCTTCAACACTGCAAGCTACTTTTCTGTGATTCTGCTTATGCTGGCACATAAAATGTTATTTACATCACTGGCCCAGCACGGGGAGCTCTGCTAGTTCTGTGGTGCTTCCAGCCACAAGCAGACATGCTCTAGCACACTCAATCATCCCAAAATCTGGGGGGATTGGTAGGTCCACTGATGTGTGCAATGAAGCACACTAATCAGCAGTATAAGGTGGTGCTCCCTGGTATGAACAGACAAAGGTAACCCTGAAGCTTGGGCAAATGTAAGAGTTCAATTATTATTTGCGAGGCTGTCACAGTAACAAGGAAGGGAGACATGCTATGGCCAATTATGATTCTCTACTCTTCTCCCACAGGACAGGCACCTTGCACAGCCACGAAGTAGGTGCCCAGTCACTTGGCTACGGCTCACGTAAGGGAAGGCTGACCTCTCTCAAGACTCACCAGACAAGGAAGTCTGCCCACTGCAGGCACGTGCGGAGCAACGACTGCGAACAACTAATACTGCTTTCCATTTCCTGGCATGTTCCTTACCTTTGTTTGCAACACACCTCCCTAATGGATTGCAAGCTTTATGCAAACTACAGAAAAAGATCTGACATTCCAGTCAGCTGCCTCGGGACACACCAAGAGATGGAGCTTTCGGGTAAAGGATTTCCACTGCCATTCTGAACAGTCGAGTAAGCAGCCTCCCTCCCACTGGGATTACTGCAACAGGGGCAAGCCAGACTTCAAGTCTTTGCTGATGCTTCCCAAACGAATCTCTGGCCTCCCACAGAAATGCCTGCTTTGCTCACCTGGTACTCGCTCCAATCAATATTCAGAGATTGGGTCAGAGAAACTGGGATACTTAGCGGAGCATCTACATAATCCTGCAGAAAGTCCAAACACAACTAGTCAGAGAAAAGCCATGACTTGAAGGCAGTGAGCTCCAGAAAAAAACAAAACAAAACAAAACAAAACAAATGCCAAATGGTGTGTCTAGAAAAAAAAAATCTCAGCAAAGCATCTTTGGATGCAAAAACCTGAAGCGGTAAGAATTAACTCATAGCCTCTTAGAGGAGCCAGTTGACAAGATCAGCTTTTCTGTGCTCCCAACAGTGAAAGTTAGAGACAAGGCATGTTAGTTTCTGAATTCCTCTAGGGCTGCTCCACTCAACCACCTCCCTCAGCAGGAGACAAATATGAAGACAGAACTGAGAGCAGAGGCTAAGTTCCCAAACTCATAAACAGGAGCAGCCCATACCCCCCACAAGAGGTCAAGCATCCTGGACCTCAGGATAACGATTCATTTATTTTACAACTGAATTTTACAATGAATAATTTAATACATTCACTATCTGTTTTGCTTATCCTGTTGGCTTCCTCCTTGCGATGAGAAATAAGCACATGACATATACACCATCGCTCAGGAACTCTGATGCAAGACTTAAGCCCAGTAAAGCCCACAGTGCTCCATTTTGAAACATTCATGTACCTGTTTCCAGTTAAATATGAGACCTTCAGCTGTATAATCCCGGTCTTTGTATTCCTTAAAAAATTCACAGCCTGTGAGAAAAACAGATAATGAACAACACTTCAGCTAACTGATAATCTGACAACTGAAGTGCCCTGTGGGACTGCAAGTGCTTGCAGCCCGGGGCTCCAGAGCACCAAACCAATCAAAACTACTACCTGTGGAAAGGGAAGAACAGTAATCATCAGTACAGTGTGCAGCACAGCCTCACAGCAGCAACAACCCAGAGTGCTCAGCAGTGAACACACCTCACACACAGCAAAGGGCAAACTCTGAACACACAGCAAAAGTGGAGTTTGAGAGACCGATTTCATTCTTTCCCAAACAAGAGGCTTCACCAAGGAGCTATCCTTTCCACGGCCACTGGCTTTTGGACAGATCTAAGGCATCAGCCTGACACTCTGACTGAGAAGGAATCAGCAAAAGGAGGTGTTGGCAGAGCCAATTTTCACAGGGCATCTGCTGCAGCTATCAAGAAAGGGCTCTGTCAAAGGCAGCTGTGATTTCTCTCACATTTGTCCCCTCTTTCAACCACACGGATTGCCCTATCTGAAGGAAGCAGGTACATAACCACTTCCAAGGTTTCCCCCAAGCTCTCCCCTCCTGAAGTTTGTCCTTTGGCTCCATTCTTAAACAACTATTTGAAGTCTCTGCTGCAAACTGCAGTCACTTAGTCACAGCTGAGCAGCACCATTAGCACTGCGGCTGCCTGCAGGCTACACGAAATACCTCTCCCACTGTACTCTGCATGCCCCAGCAGTGCCACAGTGCCCACATTTTCAAGACATCCCCGTGCCAGGCAATGATTCCTACCCCGCAAGTCACAAGTAACTCCACTGGTGAAAAAAATATCTTTGTGCAAGGACAGGACTAGCCCTCAAAACACAGAGTCAGGAAGCAATCTGTCAGTTGAGATTTAACTCCAACTAAACAATGGCTTAAAGCAAAGAATGCGGGATTATAGCAGTAAGTACTGGCATCTACAAATGCCAACTACCAGCCGAATGGAAAAGACGTTTTTTCTTCTCTGGAGAGCACAAAAGCTTCTACAGATACCCCATTTTAACCCATGTCTCACCCTAGGCAGTCATTACTCTTCACTGGGTAAAGAACTGGCTGGATGGCCAAGCCCAAAGAGTGGTGGTGAATGGAGTTAAATCCAGTCGGTGGCCGGTCACAAGTGGAGTTCCCCAGGGCTCAGTATTGGGGCCAGTTCTGTTTAATATCTTTATCAATGATCTGGACAAGGGGATCAAACATGCCCTCAGTAAGTTTGCAGACAACACCAAGCTGGGCGGAAGTGGTGTTCTGCTCGAGGGTAGGACACTGTCTTGCTCACCTAAGACAACAGGATCTCAGAATCACTTTAGAGACAAATTACAAACCAGAAATTATTTTAATGCGAACGTGGAAACATCAATAAGAATGTATCACAGCATTTGGCCAGTCACTAGAGGGGCTGCTGATCCTTAGATGTGTATGCCTTAGATTTAACAGAATGACAACATTCCCCTATGGACCAGCACTGCTGAAATCAGGCAACATCTGCAGGGAGAATCTCCAGTTTTATAAGGTTCTCCTCTACCGTGACAGCGAAGAGCCGCTCTAAGAAAGCAGCTGTCCCAGATGGCAGAAGAGGAAAGACCATCGCTGAATATTGCATACAATATGCAAGTCACCATACAGTCACAACTCTGTAGCTTAACTCTATAGAATCACTTCCTCATTCTTTACAAACCCTACAAAAGACCTGCGTACTCTGTCTCTCTCACATTCTAAGTTTGGTGAGGCATCAACATACACCTGTGCCACGTGCTACAGAAACCAGTAATACTCTCATTTCTGTACACCTCGGCAAACTCAACAGAAATCTTCATGCAGCTTCTCTGAATTGTCACTGATTTCTGTATGAATACAAATACACCTTTTAGGAAAAAAAAAAAAAAATGTTTAAGGGCAACAAGGAAAAGCTTGGGTTTGGATCACCCACATGTTTTATTGGTTTCTGTTTTGTTTTGTTTTCTCCTCTCTGTTTCTTTGAGCTCAAGAGAGAAAGAACAGTCCTTTTCCTGCAGACAGACCTCAAGCACAGCAGTCTCACATCCAGTCCTACCACCAAGCCTGACATCAGCAGGCAGGCAGCAACATTCAGCTCATCTGTAAGAGTGCAGCAAGTGACCCAGCAGCGGTTGCTAGGCACAGGGACTAATATAGCCTGGCAGACGGGCTGGAGTGGTCTGCATCTCAGTCATACACTGCAGGCTCAGGTTAACAGTTCCGCCTAGCACTGGGAGATCTTACTGTGGTGCTCTGGAACACTAGGGCTAGAAAATACTCCTAAGAATTGGAGTTTTACGTAACACAGAACAAGATCTATATTTTGCATCAAGTAGTAGTTTGGAGCTGTAGGGGTGCCACAGGCCATCTTAACCCCAGCTCCACCTCTGGGACCTTTTCTCTGCACTTGAATTAATCAGAACTGCTGAGAAATTATTTTGCCACCTCAAAGAGAGCCTAACGCTGACTCACACCACCAGAGCATCCAGTTGCGCTGTTCTCTTAAAAGAGCTTCTCTCCAGAGGGAGCACAGGAAACATTCAGCAAGCCTCAGTCATTTTACCACACACACACACACACACAGAGGTAGTTCCCAGTCCCCAGAAACAGATTGTCACCTGTCCCTCGGGAGTCCCTCTGGACATCAGTCCTGTACCTGGATATGGGATGGAGAGAAGCGTGAAATCAGCGTAACGTTGAGCTTTGTCCACCTTCTCAGAAGACGTCACACTGCACAGGATGAGAGGAAAACAGCAGACATTTGTAGAGTATTTTTCACAGTGATACTAGCACACAAAAAACTACCTGTCACATCTCCCTGCACGATGACTTGACTCATTAGCAAGCAGGGGTAGAAATTACTTAACACATCCAAACAAACAGGTATAGCCCAAACCCACTAAAGATTTCCGCTGAGAGAAAACCAGAAGAAACATCTCCCTCTGTTCCTACACACAAGCAGAGGGCTCCTTTCCTCTCCCCTTTCTGAAGGGCTGACTGTCACACCACTGCAAGCTCTACAGAGAAAACCTACTCAGACTGCAGAAAACAGATGAAAGAGGGTATCTTGCCCATCAATACAGCTTTCTCTGGCCTAATACCCTGAGGTTCTCTTTACAGCATCAACTAACTGATCCTGCTGTAGCACTCTTCCAGGGACTGCTCCCAGGATGCCGAGTGCACGCCCAACAGCAATTCACATGAGAGGGCTACACTAGCCGCAACCCAAAGCCTGCAGAAAAACAAATAAACCCAGACTCACTTCAAGCCAAACTTCACCTTCTTGTTTTCCACCATCAGGTCACAGATATATCGGACAGACAGGTACCGAAGCAGCTTGATGTCGTGCCCTCTGACCTTGTCAAACAGCTGGGAGTCTGCATTTCTGCAAGACAGAACAAGGCAAAGCAAGACGAGCATGAACGACCAACCACGTTGAGTCTGATTCTTTGCACAATACTGCCACAGTTCTTCCCCGAACTGCTTCTAGCCATAAGCTGCATAGCACGAGCCTTGTCTCCACAGGTCAGAGTCAGACTCTGCAATGAACTGATACTGAAAACTTTGTGCTTAGAGTCCCTCCCCACGTCCCACTCTGTTCTGCAACAAGCACGTAAGGTACAGAACAAGTTTTCCAGCCTGGAGATGTATTTTTTGATGAAGTAAACACTTCTGTGTAATTCAAACACCTTTTTAAATGGCTTTACATATTCCTGTCTCCAGCCCTTCCCTCTGGCAACAGATTAGCAGGCTTCAGTTACACTGGGTTCAATGAGCTATCAGTATCCAAGATGTTTTCAAAAGCAAGGAAAGTAAGACCCAGAGCTCAGTGATGGTCTCAAGCCTGTATCCAAAGCCCAGCCTAGGGAAGAGCAGAACTGAGTGCCTGAGCCAGTCAGCTTTGGTCCAAACTCCCTTTTCCCCATCCTAGTGATGCATACAAACCTAAGTGCAGAATCTTCCTCTGAAATGTCTTCTGCATCTGCCCAAGCATCGTCAGAACCTCCTGCAAGGAAGGCATTAAGAACTGAACCTTGTGTAAACCAACTCAATCCCCAATCTGAGAAGACACGCATGTGCCCAAAAAGGTCATAGTTTGGCACCCTCTCTCCACACATAAGTGCTCTCAATAGATCCCCACACTTCCTCTTCCTGAAAAGCCTGTTTTCTAACACAGCCCACTCTTCCCTTGTCATTGCAAAGGACCTAGGCAGGTCTAACCCACTACTGACAGCCAGAAGGACACCCAAATAGTGCTACACAGTGCTTTGTTAAACCAAGCTTCAGGTCCCATGCTACAGACACCCAATACTCCCCTGAAGAGCTTTCCTTAGAGTCCAGTACATCTCACCACTAGCAGGATTTGATTCCAAATTATTAGCCAAGCAACAGCAAGTTCTCACCCTCTTTCTTCCATTATTTCCACCCTTGATGTCTGGGAATCAGCACCCTGAATCCTTTGAGCTGCCTTACTTGCCTACATGCTTCTCAAGTTCTTTTGTCACTGCTTCTTACAAGCTATGGAACTCTGTCCTGTAGTATGGTCCTTGGAAATGGACATGAGATTTCAGTCTTTGCTCTACTATGCCTGATACAAGCAGGTCCATGCTAGAGCTCCATATCAGCTCTCTGGAAGAGCTTGCTCTCGTGTGTAGGCCACTGTCCCAGCAGTGACGAGCCTCACCAGGCAGACAGTGACAAACGGCTCCTCACTCACCTGAGAAGATATAGTTGTAGCCAGTGCGCCCATAGAGCTCTCCCCAGCCGGCCAGCGTTGCTGATCTGCAAATATGCTGCAGGAAGATTCTGTTATTAACCACACGTGCTCCAGGAGTCTTTCCCTTATCAGGTCTCTGGCCTATTTGCTGTCATGTTACGTAGAAATGATTGGTACCTACAGCTACCGCCACTCAGCAGTCTCCCCTGCAACCCTGGTCCAGATCAAGTTCTCCAAACACATCAAACTCCCAAGTGCCTTTATCTGTAGCTAGTTTTAAAAATCACATTTTCATCTCCAGTTCTCCAATTCACTAATACAGTCAATTCCTGCCAGGTTAGCAACAGCCATGCTCTGTTAATACCCTGCTTGAGCCTTGCTTTCCACCTTCCTGTGGACAAGATTATGGATGGTCCCAGTACGACTCTGGGCAGTTCGCTCCTGCAGAAAAAGGTCAGCAGGTTCAGCCCACGATGGCTTCAGTTCAACCAAATTAACATTGTCACAGGTATGATCTTGCTATTCCCACAGTGCTTCTAAATTGAACTAAGAAAACTGAATTAAGCTACTTAAATTCTAAATGCAGCTACTCCTACAGGGCTTCAGTACAGCTTCAGTAATCCACATAAAAATGAATCTAATTTCACTTTCTTACAGATCCCCTTGCAGACAAGCCCACACATTCATAAGACCATTTATGCAATCTTGCCTCCCCAGGGAACAGACAAGGGAAACTTCTCTTTAGAGAAAAGTTATTCAAAGGGAGGTCACTGCTGGGAAGAGTAAGGGACAGCAAGGGACAATAGTTGTCTTTCCCCTCTCAAAGACCAAATATCTTTGGTCCTTTAGAAGGGACATATATATGGAGAAAACACTAGGTCTTTGATGCAATGCTCATGACATGGTGGGGTAAAACAGCCTGAAGTCCCCACAGATGATTTATGCAGCCTAGACAGTAAATGCTACCTACTACTACGGGCTGCCTGCTCGTACCTAAGAATGGATTTTTACAGCATTCCGAAAGGTGACAACCAGCTGAAGATGCGGCTGCACAGTTCAAACAGCAGGGAGAAAGGTCATTTTCTAAGTTAAGACAGGTAATCCGTGAAGCTTTACCTTTCCCTTGTACAGAATGACTGGGCAAACAAATCGTCCTCTACACCTCGCCATCTTACTTCGGTTGATAAGGTCCTGCAGTTTGCCAACCTGCACAGTGCTCTCAAACCTAGTGGACAGAGATTTGGTTCAGTACACAGAGCATCTTCCCACATGCTTTTCAGCGAAGCTGCTACAGACACCCTGCACTGTAATCCCCATCCCTTTCGCTTAGAAGCCACCTCTGAAGTTTTTCTTTAAGAATTGCTTCCGCTGCTATACAACATGTATGGATGCTTTTCTGCCTCCTTTTCTTTATTCTGAAAGGCCAGCTGCACAGTATGTAACAGCAAGCATCTTCAGGAGATGGGAATACGACTGTCATCAGAATGGTCTGCTACAGACAAATGTGGATTACTAACAGAGGACTACCAGAGTAAGCCAGTGTCTACAAAAATACATGTTCTGCTTTCTTTCCCACCACCTTTCCATTAAAAAGAAGCTCAGCACTACCATCAGAGTGAATTCACTACCACAGTGATAATTTTGCAGGGAAAAATAAACAAAATAGAGAATCAAAACTTGAACACCCAATGAACCTTAGTTCTGGTCACTTGAGCATTTGTGCTGCCAGGGTGGGTTGAGCAGGGTAATTAGAATAATGTCAGCTCCATCACTAAGTTTTGTTTGGTTCTCTGGTTAAAGTTAAAACAGAAACGTGCTCCGAGTCAGAGGCATTTTGGAAACAAGTTAAAACTGCTGCAATTTGTCCAAGTACCGGTCTACATTTGATAGGAATCCAGACTGACTTCTGGACTACACAGACCTTCAGGAGGAACTGCCAATGCAGGGAGGACTACAGTTTCCACAAGGAACTGGAGAAGCATCCACACCGACAGAATAGAAAACAGATGAAGCCTGGACATACGAAACTGCATGGCCATGCACTTAGAGATGACTAACAAGCATTTCCAGTTAGCCCTTTCCAGTAGTGAAGCTCAGTAGAAGCTCAGATGAACTGCTTGATCTCTGGATGCTCGCACATTATCAACACGGTAAGTCTGAAAAAAGGGACAAATAAGATCTGGGAAACTCTCCACTGGGATGTAGAAGTACCAGCATTACTATGAAAAGCACAAGACCTCCGTGGAGAGAAAGCATCTGATTCCAGTGACCTGCCCGTGCCTGAAAAGGCACAGCAAGATGATTAGAATGGCCAGGGGACAGTGTATTCTGCAAGAGAAACCACCACAGATTGATTGGCAGAGCAGATGGAGATGAAGCAAGGACACAATATATGCATTAGGGTGAAGGAGAGAACCCACAATGGAGGGGGAGAAGAACTCAAAGGTGAAGGACAATGGTGGCCTAAGAAAAAATTGATATCTTTATGCTGGAAGTGAAAAGAAAGTTGCTAAGCTTCAGAATCAGTGAGAGTGTGGAGCAACCTACCTGCAGCTGCCATTCTGGGAAGGATTAAAAAAATTAATCTATTATTAACAGGGAAATGGATCTGTTATGGAAAACATTGCACAAGGTAGTGACAGTGGAAGCAAACAAGACCTTCAAATCCTACTTTTTTTTTTTTTTTTTTTTAAAAGGGATCAATTCTTGAAATTCATAGTGGAGGCTTAAGGTTTTCATTTTTACCTACACACACAACTATTTTGGCTGTCTACCTCCAGAGAGCTTTGACATATGCCAGAATTTAAAGAACAAGAACTCAGACTAATCTTCTTTAAAAGCTGTGGGCCTGAGGGTGCCGAGCACAAAGGCAGGAAAATGCTAACACAATATACTTTACACGGGAGTACGTGAGATTGCGTGCAGGCGAGAGGAGCACGTGCCCGACCAACCCAACCCCAACTCTGCTCATCGCTCTCACTGCAAACAGCCGAGAGCTCCGCCCCACAATCTGCTTCCCTCCTCAGAGAGCATGGGGCTAACACACACCCCAGGAACGGCCTCTGAGCAGTTTGAGAAGAGATGCCTTCCTGCATCATTCCCAATACCAAACTATTTTGAAACTTCGAGAGATTCTGACGTACAGATTTCATTGTGGGGTTGTTTTTAAATGAATGCACGTAGTTAAGAGACACATCCTGCACTCTGCTCCAGCTGTCTTTATGTTTCCTTTGCAAAAGCAAATACGGAGGGAAGCAAGAAATTTAATAAGGTATTACCAGAGTAGCTCCATGGCACTGCTTCTGAGTACAGAAGATGAGATTCAGCAAAAATCAAACGCCTGGAAGATCAGAAATTATAAGAGAAGCACATCCCCAGGAGTTGAGACAAGTCAACAGGTTTCACCTCGCAGCACACGAACTGTGCTTCCCCAGAGAGGCATCGCAGCCCTGGGGAATCAGTCTGAACAGCTTGGCAGGAACCTGGGACACGGGGCGAGCAGGAAGCCCAGCGCCCCACCGGGGACACGGAAGGCTGAGCCCTTCTCCCAGGCTCCTGTGTCTGCTCCTTGGGAAACCTGCACACCCACCCGAGAGACCCCCTCTGCTACCCGTCATGCCATGCCACAAACAGGGCTCTTGGATCTTCTCGTCTCAAGAATCACTGTCAGTGAAGCCAGAGACAAACAGGAGCCAGAGATGAACGTGGAAAGTAAACACAGTTGTACCGAGACTACTGTAGGAAGGGGAAAGGCTGCTCTGAAGGACAGGGGCAACGCTCTTACAGGTATGAGTGATCAAACGCCACATAGGTAGGAGTAAAATCTACTCAAAAAGGTTCAGAAAACAGGGCACTCTTCCAACAGCAGTGCGAAAGATCATCATTAAGGCTGCTTGGCACAAGGTAGAGAATGAGGTGGAAGGAAAGATGTGTATCTTAACTCTTTCTTTTTAGGACTTTCAGGTGGTTTGGGTTGGTTTTTTTTTTCCTTAAAAAGTTTGTTTTCCAGAAGATACTGCTGGCAACCCTATCTCTGTATTAATTCTCTGCCCACCCTCCCCCCAAAATCAGACCCCAAACCTGAATTAATCTTTTTAAACAAGGGAAACATTTCCTATAAGAGCAAGCAACTGTTTGGCAACTGTGTATTTTAGACAGGCCTGAAGCAGAGATGCTTCTCTTTGGGTAGCCGTAACAGCATCGGAACCAAAGCCTTCCTCTCACATCATTAGACTACGTGCAACTACGACCACATTTGTTTGGCGTGCAGACACATAACAGGACTGCCAGGTGAAACCAAAGATGTGGCCTGTGTCTCAGATCCGGATGTTTTCGTTAAGCACAGTCACAGTAACCCTAAGACAGTGAGTAAAGACCTGAGCACATCCTTCTGTTTCCACTGCCTGTAGCCTCTGCCCGCTCCTCCTGGGGGACACTGCCGATTTCCAAGCACAGGGAAGGTGCTCCCGGCTGTCAGACGCGCTCTGCTACTTTCTGTGCCTCCTCGCAAGCAGCACCCGGCCAAGGGGCATACAGGCCAAACCCACACACCAAATTCCTCCTGCGCCTGCCTGGGTTTCACAGTACTGCTAGCAAACTTTGATGAAGCAACACCCTTTCTTCCCCCCAGCTGCTCAGAATGAAAAGGGATCAGGAAACCAATCTGGGTTAAAAATATCCATTTTTTGCTGTTTCCCAGCATGGCTTCAGAAGCAGCTGTACCAGCAGAACCGATGGGGCAGCGCAGAGGTCACATAACTGAGAATTGTTTCTAAAAACCCTTAGTATTCTCAGAGGTGCAAAGCACCCTGCACACTTCAAGGAGGCCTTACCAGCCAGTTAAGAACATTACAAAGATGAAAGGCAACCAAAGACACTCGGTCCTAGAGGGAGTCTCCCGTTCACTGGAAGAGGTTCTTGTGTTCTGTAACACAAGAGGTGCAACAGTCTATTTCATAATTATTCCATAGAGCACAACGATGAAACCAAAAACCGGATTTATCTAAAAGTTACTTAGCAGCTTCTACAGAGATTATCACACAGAAATCAGGAGGAGAGGGATGAAGAGCAGTCTGCTTCTGTGCATCTCTGGGACAGCAAATCAAGACTCGGAATGAATCAGCACTTAAAACGTTAATTGCCGCTGCTAGCTTGTAAAAGTCTCGGAAGAAAACGGGGCAGCAAGTGTAAGTATACTTGTTTCGAATCGTCGTTAGAAAAATCAAGCATCCTTTTCTCATGCAAGAACAGGAAAAGCAGAAGCATTTGGTTTCTCTTCCCTAAAGACACCCCTAGTTACATCAACAGCTTCAGACTTCATTTCCCTTTTTTGGCAGCAAGGGGTTTAATCTTTTCTAATCTGATCTAACCGTTACGCAGAAACTCTCCCACCTGACAATGAACTGTGTTTTCCAAAGACCCTCTCCTACAGCACCCGGCCCACGTGCCAGCACAGCAGCTGGCGGTTTGCCTTCCTCAGCCAAAACATCTGGACACGCCAGGGGAATTCGGTGACCACCGTCCTTTTGAACGTGTCACTCTTGTCACGGACACAGCGAAGACCGTGTTATGTTTTGTTGGAAGAGAAAATAAAAAATGAGAGGCTGTCACTAGAGCTGCAGGGAGCAGCTACCGCTCAGCCAGAAGCGAGACCAACGTGATTTTGGAGTTGTGGGTCGAAGTCCGGACAGGCACTGGCTCAGATTCGCACTAAACCGCAAGCGAACGTTTCCCATTGACCCACAAACCTCAGCGCCCACTGACCCACGGTGGGGGCAGACTATTGCTGCCGAGGTTGTCCTGTCTGTCCAGCTCCTATCAGCACCCCCTGCCCCAAGATGCTTTCCAGACTAAAATTTCTCTAATCGGAGGCCTTCCAGCAAGACCTGGGCGAGTTGCAACACAGCCATCATTAGGGTCTGTTCGAGGATCTGGCTGGCACTGCCCCGGGGCACCCCGTTTCGTTCACACCCCTCAAGTTACAGGCTTAACTTCGCAGCTTTCACCAAGGAAGCCCGAGAGACTCGGAGGAGCCCCCCGGGAGCTC